ACACCATTCTTCGTTCATACTGAAGCCAATATTACTGTTAACAATTGTAATTGTGAGAGATACATCATTTACTAGCCGGCATAAACCAGATTAACTTCTCCGACCACTATTCCCAGTGGTGAGATAACAGCTGCTGACGTTCTGTGCGTTTCCATAGGGTTCGTTACATTCCCCGCCTACCTCTGCTTTCGTAAAACCACGAAGAGAGGGGTATGGGATGTTGGTTTCTTCCTGTTCAGACCAACACATGTGGGTGAACAGTAGTACTTTCGCTTGGATCTGGTTAGCCTTTACTCTGCACACATATGTAAGTTCATAAATAAGTATTATACGTAGACAAATCATGGTGGTTTGTAGACAGGATATTAAGATTGTGTGCATAAATTGTGTAGTTAGTCATATCAATAATCATCCCACTCATAACAGTGATGAGAATGAGGGCACTTTGTGACTGCAGGGAGAGTGAAAAGCAGTGCCATAGTACAAACAAGTGTTCGAGTAGGCGTAGTGGATCTGTAGAAACAGATTTCTCTATCAAAATAATTATTCAGATTACTGACTGATGACGAGTAATATTGTAGGAGGCTAACTGTGTTTATGAACCATTATTTTCGGAAGCAAGGCAGAGGGCAACTGAAGCAGGGAATGACTAAGCAAACAAACGGGAGGTCAATAATCATTCAGCAGATAAAGAAAACCCTACAAATCACAAAGAAGATGCAGTTCCTACTCGGTTACTCATCTCATCCTACTGAATTTCTCAATAACGTACTACTATTATTAATACACCTGAGTAGCCATGGCATACCATGTTGTAGAAGCCCTAAAGACAAGACTTAGAGCACTAAGAGTAACAATACGCACCAGTAGATGATAAGAGAGGCAAATAAACTAAATTCCAGTGAAGATTCGACAGAATCAAGGACGAGCTGACAAAAAAGTGTTAAGGAAGGAATTTAAGGTATATAAGGGCTGATGGTGGTCTAACCATCAGTTGGTTAGGTCTTCAGTGGACAAGGAATCGTTTGTGGTTTGTAAAGTTTAAACTTGGTAGTCCAAATGTAATGCTTATCGCCTCAGTTATATATAGTGGGAGATATAAAGATCATTAGGACCACTGGATGGGTCCCGACAAAATCACCTTGAAAGCCTTTGTTCTGTCCACTGTGTGGTAACTCTCAACTAAGTACGACCTCGGCACTTGTAATTTCACAAACAATGATCAAGTCAACACCAAGGTGGTGGAGACCAAGTGCAAAGCCACCCAATTACCATAATCTCACCCCAATTAGTTTGTTCCGGGGGACCTTATTCTGTCCCTCCAGTCCAAAAAATTCGTATCTCTTCTAATTAACAGTGGAGCAACGACATGATGCACCTCTGATGCTGTCAAAGATACGCCTTGCAGAAGTTGAGAAGAAGCGGTGGCTTCAGCACACTAAACCGCATACGCGTAAATTAGAGAGCCTAACCCATATTACTCAAGTTATTCACAGTTTCTGATAGAACGAAACCTAAATTGCAGCCTTCGATGCATAGGATACGTCAACACAACATTCGGAGTTCAGGTGAGTATTTGGGGTAAATTCTAATGCCTTCGAGAAAACTGGGAGTTATGTGACCACTCCATATTTTATAGGATATAGTTTATCTCCATGCTAGGAAAGATTTCTCATCCAGAAATACGCTCACTCGTGGTGAGTGGATAACGACTGTTCTAGAACTAGCATTTGCGAATGCGACAATGCGGCAATCGCAGAATCCCAGCATCAAAAAAGAATGAGGCTAGGGCCCTACAAACAAAGAGCCAGTTGAATCAGCGTGATCAGTTCATCCATTGTGGAAGTGGGTTATGTAGGTAAGGAAAGTTGTAACGCTTCCAACACCAGTTCATGTAATGACGATTGACACAGTCTCACCTATTAAACAAGTGAGGATACATCTGACCGACAGGCTGACACAAAACGCTGACGCACACAAGGGAAAACGCAAAACCCGGGAGCGAGGCAAATGTGTAATACTATGACAAGAAGTATAGATTTTGGCACGCATATTCAAAGTAAAAGTCCAGTGCCTAAACATCCACCATTATCCCAATCACACCGTTTGACACTATGTCAACTGCGTTCATGTGTACCGCATCTACAACATAAGAGAAAGATAAATCGCAATATCACAATTATGAGGAATACATATCAGATTGTCAAATGTTACGACTATCTTTTAGTGGAAAGGAGGGCATTGCAATAGCGCTCAGAATAGAAAAGGCTATCCTCCACTTTCTGCAACTTCAAAGCCACTGACGTTGATTTAGATGCTGAAAGATTTTGGCAATGATCTCTTTCTTCACTCAGTTGTAAACGCAGTCTGTGCTTTTTCTAGTCACTGCACAAGTATAACTAATTTGATGGAAGAAAGTCTTTAGGTAATGCCATAACGTCCCAGTTGTACGTAAGGAAACTGACTAGATTGTCCTTGCATAGTACGTGATCGAACTAATCAAACACATCCACCCGGTATATATATGTACATATATATATGTCTCCTTAGTCTAATCTTTCATGGTTAGTTTTCATGATGACTAATCACAGACTGTGCTTGCTCGCACTCCATTCTATTTGTGACTGCCGTATTCTCCGGAAGCTTCTGTAGGTGTGGATTACAGTCCGTGGCCAGTTTGAAGCGGAGTGTGTCTGAGTTACACACTGTAAGCACAACTCATGACCAAAAAGGTAAGCTGAGAAAAGCAAGTCGATATCCAGTGTGCGAGTAAGCACCAAGACAGAACTTCGTCACAATAGTCGGCTGATGCGTGACTGATAAATGAACGAAGTATTTCTTTGATTATTCAGTTTGCACGTCCTACCAGGCCAACCGTATTAGGTGATACGGAGTGGTGTGTATCTTCCGAATTCCGAATAAACCTGGGCTACCAACTGACTTCCAGATGTTGCTCATTAATTACGGTGTGAGGCTATTGGGGCTCCATACCGCGATGCGCATTTATTGGAAAACGCTTCCACCATGGTAATCGCACCATGCTGCAGAATTGGCGCTACTTCACACCACTTGGAGAAGTAGTCAACCATGACCAGAATATGTCAATTTACCATATTTTGTTGCTCGTAACGAGCCCTTAACGTCTATTCTATGTTAATATGGACCTGTTGTTAACATATATATATAATCTTTTATACCACTTACTTTGTTTTCTGCGTTATTGCACAATGAGCTTTATGCCTACAGATACTAGTAGGGCTGATTATTCTGAGTTTTCTCAAGTAACTGGAGTATGAATTCACTGTTGAAGCATCAGAAAGCAGTCAATGAAAACCACGAACAATTTGTACAGGGTACAATCGAGTAGTTAATTGTACTCACCAATAATGAAATCCTAGTTCTAATTCGCATAATTTTACCCGCAAACATTACATTGTAAGGTGGCAGATTTGGTTTTAAACATGGGATCACTGTGTATTTCTTAAATGTGCATTCCTACTGGATTCATCTGTATTCTTCCATAACATTTTTATAATCGGAAAATCTTCATTATAATACATTCCCAACTGTCTTAGACGGATCATTTATTCCTAATATAGCCATCTCATTAAGAGCTCCGTGTTCACCTGAAGTGTGCTTCACTGTCACCCCCAATCTCATGAAATCACACGAATAATTTTATTTCTTTCGTTAAAAGGTGGCTGCTATTTTCATAACCAGTTTTGTGCTCTACGACCTGAAGAATACTAGATTGTGTGAATACTAAAATGATTTAAAAAAATTCTTTGTAATCAGACAGTCAAAGTTGAACTGCCCATCAGACAAGACAGTTCACTAGCATCTCTTGACATCAAAAAATTATTTCAGATGCACTAAAAAGACTGAAAGAACGACTCCCTACTTCGCAGGAGATAAAAAGTCTCTCATACTCAGTAGTAGCGCAACATTGAGATGAAACAGCTTGCCGGAAGTTAATAGAAACAGATTCCCACTTTGGTTGTTTGCAGTTGACCTCCTCCTCTATCATGCGGCAGGTTGACAAAATTCTTGCTACTGTTAAGTAATGAAGTGGTAAACTCATTTCGAAATAAAGATTCCGATTGGTCTAAAGAACAAAATACGTGACAGTAATACTACAGTTTTGGTCGAAATGGCGGATGACGAATGTGATGAAGGGGTATTCAGAGAGACAGAATTTCTTTCTGGTGTATAATAAATGTACATTTCCTTTTGAACAAAGAAATTTTATTGGTAGATGGATAGAATAGAATACAATGAATCTGTTTAATGAGAAATGGTGTAGAGTGACATATTCACCAAAACGCACTTCATTCTGCCCGCCAATTCTATCATATTGCCCTACCCCAAATAATTTATATGAAATGTGGTCAAAAACAAAAAAATGTTTTAATAATAATTCAAGTATATTTGAATTTGTTTTATTAGTCGACAAAACCTATTTTATAGATCTATGCTTAGTAAATAGTTAAGAGTTCATTAATGACTTTCATAATTATTGTAATATTAAGACTGGCAACAACAAATTATTTGTTCAGTAGTTTCAATAAATAGTTGTTTTAACTCTCACCTTAATTGTAGTCATTAAGGTTAAGGGGAAAAAGATTTTGTTAGATATATTAGTAAATAAATAAGTTAAAAAGTGAATAAATATGTTGATTTTGTTTTGAATAAAAAAAAGAGTAACACATTTGTCAATAAATAAAACTGGTTCAAGAAGAAAAAAAGAATAAATCTGTAACACGGACACAAAGAAGAGATCAGTCACTTTTACTTTGCTAGAGGAAACCAAAAGTATTAGCTGGAAAGAAGAATAAAAGTTAAGAATTTGATAAAAATTGAACATAATCTTTGACCTTCTAAGAATGAATGATTTCGTTTATGGAATTCTCGTTGATTATTTCAGGACGAACATTAATAAATCTTGATATTATTAAGGTTTAAAGAAAATGTCAATCTAACATTTTCCTGTAAATGCACATTTAGTAACCTTGATGATATGGATTACCACTATGACGCGTTGTTGCTCCACTGACAGTCTCTCCATAACCATAGTCTGGAGAATAGACTTGTGGATCATTAACGATTGGTCGATGCTCACTTGCTGCATACCTTGAGTCTGAACTGTAAACCTGACCGCCACTTACATTTGGATTTCTCTGATTACTTATTCTGCGTACAGTTGGATTATTGTCTCTCCTTTCATCTGGATCTGCATAACCATACTCTCCGTGTATCATCTCAGCTGGTAAGTCAGTTGGTGGTTGCCAGTTGCACTGGGCTTCTTCTGGTGCCTCCGCCCAAGGTTGTTTTTCACCAGATGCAAAGACAGCATAGAATGCAACACCAGCAAAGTGAACCAAACTAGCGATAAGGAAAACAATAGGCCATCCTTCTTTGTTCTGTATAAGGTAATATATAGAAATGAGATAGTTCGTTAAAATGTCACAAGTTCGATAACATTACTACTGAATATTAACAGATTTCTTGTGTTGCATTACATAATGAACAAATGACTGATGGTTAATTATCTATAAAGAGTTTGGGCGATCATTTTATCATACAGTTCACCTCTGAAGTCGATTATGGATAATGATATTCCTTACAGTTTTTAACTACTTAAGTAACAGAACACGGCTGTGGTTAGAAGTTAAGCAGATTTTCAATATCATATGAAAACAAAGCGGCCACCGGTTGTTACGATATTAAGTGCATTGAGCTACCCATTGAGACAAAACAGAAAACAGGAAATCCAGTGGAGACATTCTTTCTGGTGATTTAATTATCTACATTTCCGTTTCACAAGATTGAATAATTGCAGATATTGTGTAGTTGGACACAGTAATCCGAAGCACGACATGAAAAAACTCATCAGTGTGATGATAGATGAAGAGGTGTCACAAGGCATTATATGTTCTGATAATTTTCAAAAGTAAACTTTCTTCATATCTTATATTAACTAACTGTTCACTTATAGAAATGTAAATACTCCAGAGTGTGAAATTCCGCCCACCACTTCTGTAGAACCAAGCACGTAGATCGTTCGAAGCGTGCTATTAGTTCTGTAAGAATGCAGCAATTCACCTCCTAGTCAGCGTTGGGCACAACATCTTGAGTGATTCACTATTCAGAGAGAGGGTTACCTGGAAGAACGATACGTGCCCTAGGTGGTATGCCTTCAACTTCTCTGGGCTGTTATTTTCATGAAAATTATGTTTGCAATTGGAGTTTGTACAACCCTGTAAACACGATTATTTTATAAAATTCAAACTTCCTCTACAAACTGTATTTTCATTTTCGCTGTTTATTTACTTACAGTAGTTTTCTTATCATTTTCATGCTTCCCTTGATCACACCCTTTCTTGAAAGCTTTAGTAAGTATCAGCCTGTCTGACAACCTAAAATAGTCCGTTTAATTTCAATACTTTAAAAAAAAATAACTTCCAATTTGATTACACTTTTGATTGTCTCAGACAATATGAAAAATTATTATGTCCACTGGGCCTGATCTTTATTTCTATTTCTAATTAATTATTAGTTATGATTATCAGTCTTGTATGGTGAATACGTATAAAAGACCCATTGTATAGCTTTAAAGTACGAAATCGATATTGTCATCTTCCTCCAATTCCTCGCATTCTTTATTACTGTTTGATTTGAGACAATTAAAAGTCCAACTGCGAACAGTAATAATCAAAAGTTTTATTCTCTTCACAATTTATCTGAGGAAAGATAGTAGTTGCTTTCGTAGTGTCTCAGCTACGGGAATCCATTAGTTCTTTCCCCTATGAACAATTAACACGTATGGGGAGATAATGTTATTATATACCGATTACAAGACCCAGTTGTGTGATATCACTCACAACAGGCTAGCAGCTTCCAAGCAGCTGCTACTGTTGTAATATATATATATATGTTGGTTGGAGGCAGTCGGCAGGAAGCCTTCGACCTAGGTTTCGTGCTAGCTGGCACTCGTCAGCAAGGCATATCTGTAACCTTGAAGGAACTCAAGTCCCTTCTGATATCCGAACTCGCGTCACCCAGTGCTGCAGTGTGAGACGTTACCACTGAGCTATTCGGTGCTCGCGATTGACCTCCTGAAGGATTGTATTGGATGCTTTGATTAGACACTAGTCAGTGACTAGTGTAGTGTGTCTAGTCTTTTATAATAATAATAATAATAATAGCTTTATTCCAAACAGTATTTGTGGTACAGGTATGGAATTTTCAGCGTGCATTACAACATTGCATCCAATTACCTCATAAATTTTATAAGAATTTAAAAATAAAAAGCAACAACAACAAAAGAAAAAGAAAGAGAAATAGAAGAAATAAAAAAGAACAGTATTGCATTCACATATTTAAACAATACACCACAGGATATGATATATAAAATTAGTGTGTAATAGAATATGTGAGCAACAATATAATAGTAACAAAGAAAGGAGAACAAAAGCTAATGGGAACTATTTGTTAGAGTGCCGCAGTAAGGTGATCGTGTCATGCCTAACAGTTTTCTCATCACATAACAGCTGTGCCAGATAAGGTATTGTGGAGTTTTTATACTTGGTAGTCCTGGCATATAGCTTCCTATAGTTGCTTCTAGTTCTACCAGATGAAATGCAGGGAGAGAGCTGTGTATAGAGAGGATGCTCAGGGTCTGACAATATAGTATTCGCTAGTTTCTTACATGACATTATATGTCTATCCACAATGGTGTTAACCAGTTGGTTTAACGATATCCCACTTGCCCTACTAACAGCTTTTTTGTCTCCAACCATCTAATATCGACAATTCAAAGTGCACCATATTGGCTAGCCAACTAGAATGCTGGCTACATCGCAAACTTGACCTACAGAATTCAGTCTGCACTTAACAAAGGACTAGAAACACTACACTAGTCAATGAATAGTGTTCAATCAGTTATGTAAATCAGTATAGTACTTACTTGATTTTTGGTTAGTAATTCAGTTGTAATTGGGCAAATCATCCCAGATATTGTCCCAACACCATTAGATAAACCCATTAGTATACTGGCGTAACGTGGTGCAATGTCCAGATGATTAACATTATAACCTAAATGCAGGAAAGAACAGTAGTATGATAAAGTGCTTGTTAACTTATTAATTATGGTCTGGTAAATGAATAAATGCATAAAGCTAACTTATACGCTGAACTGATCATATAATAAGGTGGATTCAGTTAGTAATGCATAAAAACTAATGTCTCCCAGTAGTTAATGTAGTTCCAATATACGGAATAAATGCTGCTTCATTCCTTCTAAGTTTGAATCATTTTATGAGTATTGCAGTGAAAAAGTATGGCTGCAAAGGTATTCGAAGTCATTAAAAAAGCCATTAAAAAAATATTAGTATTAGCAGCACAAAGCACTTTCTGTCCAGTTACAAAAAGAAATTCATAATCAGGAGGTATTGCATAAAAGCTTTCTCAGGCGAATAAGAAAGAACCTACAATATTTCATTCTAGCTCTGTGTATTGGGTTGAAGAATCGCCGAAGGGACAAAACAGTTATCGGATACACCTTGATTCTTAACAGCTTTTCATGTCAATCTTGGTTTGTGACGAAGTCGACCTTGAAGCCAGTTGCATCACCACATTAGCAACATCTTCAAACTTTTCAATGTTTCATACAAAAGCAGTAAATAACGCATTTCATTTGTGTACGCATAGTTGAATGATGTATTCGAGATGACTTTGGCTCTCATTTCTCAATCACAAGTAAAAATATCAAACAAGAATACATGATCATCAGTCAAATCTAACCGGTATGCCTTTATACTACACAGAATTTTAGTAGACATAAGTGATTCGGTTGAAAAAAGCCATATTTTGAACAACACACTGTCAAAGAAGATGTTGCTTCCTTTACTTCTTGGAAATGCTAAATTTGTAGTGACATGACATCTTTGGTGCTTAAATGGGTATATGTATGGAAAAGAATACGAAGTGTAATTCCTGGACATAAGAATTAAGGAGGCGATTTGGAAGGTGTGAGCCGGTGGCACAGCGGTTATGTCAATCACCGACCATGCATTTGGTCAAGGGTTCAATCCCTGGCGGACGCACACCTGATATCAATGGTCGGCCTGCTAAATTTGGCCTACAGATATCTTATGCTGAAAATTCTATACTTGTATCAAAAATACTGTGTGGAGTCAAGCAATAATGAAATTTAAAAAATAAATAAATGAAATAATCGTGTTGAAACTATGTCGCTGGTAAGGCTATCTGAGACAGCTTGAGGAGATTAAACTGATAATAATGATGAGGCCAGATTTGTAACTCACTTAGGATATTTCACCTATCAGGAATATTTAATATTTCAAAAGAATAGACACTGAACAAAGAGAACTCTTTTCGATAAATTCATCATCAGGTTCTACAATTATATATACATTATAATGAATGAATGAATTAGTCTTATGAACGACATTAATGTTTAAATAACATCAAATCAATAATATTGATAAATTACAGCTGAACAGCATCAACATCAAATAAACTGAATGTCAGAAGAATTAGGAAAGGTAATGGTACAAATTCATGAGTTTATAGTCTCTACTGAGGGCCAGGGCAGTAGTAGGGGCTGGACTTGTTTCTTTTGGACACAGAGCGCTGGTTGTTTGAGGCGAATTGCAATAGCCTCTGCTGTTTGGAGTAAGCGGTGCTTCGGGGATTTTGGTAGTTTGTTGGGCACCCGGTATATTATGGAGAAGGATTCGTCTACGCTGGCTTTGTGACCGGTTTGCACCAGATGGTCTAATATCGAACTGTCAATGCTTTTCACTACACCTTTACTTAGCCATAGTGGGAGATGTTCTTGAGCACGAAAAATCAAGTTCCTAGAGCAACGACCGATATAACTCGCTCCACCAGCGCAGTTGGATTGGTAGATACAATTGGAATTGGCTAGTCTAGGTACTTCATCTTTCAGTCGAGGTAGCACCATTGGTCTTGTAGAGAATAAGATGTGCAGTTCGCCAGCATTAAAAGTACTTTGAACTGCTTTTCTTAATTTCTTTGTAATTAACTCACTTGGTTTATCGCCCTTGAATTGTAGTCGTATATAAAGGGGCTTCTTCTTTACAGATAGTGGGTCGTCCTTTTCGGCCTTCTTCGTCATATGTTTCTTGATAAACTTGTCAGGATAACCATTTTCAATTAAAGTATCATATACAATGTCTAATTCATCTTTAATTACTTCCTCAGAGCATATAGCTCTAACTCTGTGGCTAAGGGTCTTCACCAAATTCCTTTTGTATTTGATGGGAACGAAGCTATGAAAGTGTGTATATTGTCCCATCCAAGTACTTTTTCTATGTAAATTTCTTTTTATGCTTCCGTCTGGTTTTCTTGTAAGTAGGACATCGAGGAAGGCAATTCTGTCTTGGGATTCCTCCTCGCATGTGAATTTCATAGCCGGATGTACTTCATTGAATTCAGTAATTATTGTAGTCCTATCGGAAGCATTATCACAAAGAATAAAGGTGTCATCCATATATCGGCAATAAAAAGAGAACTTTCTGATAAGGTTGTTCAGAGGTCCATTTTCTAGCTTACTTAGAAAGAAATCAGCCAGAATTGGACCTAATGGGGAGCCCATTGCCACCCCGTCCACTTGCCTGTAAAGCGTGCCGTCAAATTTGAAGTTTACATTCATGGTACATCTTAATATCAATTCTTTTAGGATTTCAGTATGGATTCCAATGTTTATCGACTGCTTGTCCACTTGTTCACATATATAATTAACTGTTTCTATTAGAGGTACATTCGTGAATAACGATGTTATGTCCAAAGATATCATGGTTTTTTCCTTGATATTAATATCTTTTATTTTGTCTACGAATTCGAATACATCTTTGACGCTATATTTCACTATCTTCTCATGCAATGGTTTGAGAATATTTACTAACCATCTAGCTAGAGCATGGTAGGGCGAATTTTGCATATCAAGTATTGGTCTTAACGGTACCCCTGGTTTATGCACTTTAGGTAGGCCATACAATCTTGGCATATACGTGCCCGTTGGTCTGATTTCTTCATATAAACTTTCAGAAATTATCTTCTCCTCCCTTAGTTTCTTCAAACGTCTGGTTAATTCATTCTCTATTTTGTTATTGAAATCTTTCTTCTCCTCAAGTTTTTGAAACTTCTGTGTATCCTTCAATATATCCTTCATCTTTTTAATATAGTCATTTCTATCAAGAAGGACTACTCCTGACCCCTTATCCGGCTTTGTGATTATCAGTCTCTCATCATTTATCAGTCTTTTTAGTTCTTCTCTGTGTTCCTTTGTCAAGAAACTTTTACTGTCGCATTTGAGGTTTTTGTACTGGTAACAACACTCCACTAGACTGGATTTGAAGCGTTCTAGTTCGAAGGTGGATGATGGAGCTAGATCCCTTGTTTGACTAAATAGGTTTTCAAATTCAATATCAGTATCTAAGTAATTAACTCGTTTCGGTGTGTCACAAAATCGAAGGCCAAGTGAAAGTACTTCAAGTTGCACCTTATTTAATTCAACACTACTATAATTGTAGACGTACTTTTTAGGATCTGCTGGAAATTTACCAGCCTCTGGCTTCCTTTCAAGTCCTTTCATGAGCTCTATCTGCTTCTTCTGTGCTCTTCGTTCACTAACTAGTGTAACGTATTCCATGAAAGGCGTTCGAAGATCTTCTGACAGTTCATCTACCGCATATTGCCTACGAGCGATATTCATTTCATTCTCTTGAATGAAAGTAGATAAAGAGTCTTTTTGGTTTAGTGCATATCGTTTCAGCGTTTTCCTATTGGGATGAACTCTGCTTCGACGTAGAGACTTGTAATAAACTTTAGGATAGTGATTTAACTCGATGCAATTGTTAATAAAATCCAATGTAGCCTTTGTTTCATTGAGCTTAGCGTTATACTTCAGGTACTCATTGAGAACCTTCAACGCTACAGGCGGCTCACAACATTTTAATTGATTAAAAATGCCCATTAAAATTTTCAAAAGAATAGACACTGAACAAAGAGAACTCTTTTCGATAAATTCATCATCAGGTTCTACAATTATATATACATTATAATGAATGAATGAATTAGTCTTATGAACGACATTAATGTTTAAATAACATCAAATCAATAATATTGATAAATTACAGCTGAACAGCATCAGCATCAAATAAACTGAATGTCAGAAGAATATTTCGTTAAAAATTTAGCCTACTTAAATTAGCTTTCAGTAGTTAACAAATATAAAACAAATTTTCCAAATGTCATTTTATGGAAAGAAATAAAACAGGATATGCTTATGGGAACTTAACTAAAATAATTGTTTATCCTAAAAAAGTAACTTGCCAAATTTTGAAGTCTTTATGCAGCTGTACTTTCATGATGCATAAATGATGTCATATATTCAAGGTTGTTAAGAATGCAAAGATTTAGCTCAAAAGCGGTGAATAACAGACAGTATTAGTTGAAGAATAGAATTTTCAGCTCCATATTAAATACTGTATCACAGTGTATTATATCGGATAAATATATTTTATATGGACTTGCCATCTACCACTGTGCCAAACAGCTACTCTTAGGTTAATGTTTTTTAAAATCTCTGTCGAATTCAATAGTTACATAATTGCATAAAAATGGATAGTTTTTTAGACAGTATAAATGTGTAATTTAAGATGTTTAAAACTCATTCATTTTCATAAACACTCTCAGAATACAATCCAAAATATTGAGCAACTTCACAAATAACACTAGAAAGTCTAAATCCAAAAGAAAGAACAGGTATCACTTGTCATTTAAGATGAAGGCGCTAGACTGATAAAGAAACAGTTAGGTATTGTTGATTGAACTTTCAGGGGAAGTAAAACAGTTTGTTCAAGGAATCAAAACTATTTAAATCAAATCAGTGGTTTATTTTAATGAGGATAGAAATAAAATTGGGATGTAAATATGCTGTTAGGACAACCGTTTGTTGTAGACAAAAAAAAACGGGGAAGCTACAATCGCTGATACTTTATTGAGAGCTGTTTAACAGCAATCACTTCTATATATCTTCTGTTCTA